GCGTACCCGCTCGACCTCCGGACGTCGCCCGGCACAGCTTCCATGGTGACGCAGCAGAACGGGCACTTGGCGGCCCGCACTCGCCGGACGTCCAGTCGTCCTCGTGAACCCATCCCTGTTTGGGTTGATCTCCACGACCAGACGCCCGGCGTCCGCGCGGCAGGCGTCGTAACTGGCAACGGCCACCAGGCCCCCGCCCACCGAGACCTTTGCTTTCGGGCCGGCGGCCTGTCCGGCCGCACGAGTTTGATTTCGGCAACTCGTCGGCGGCCACGCGCATCGGCACAGCATCGAGTGACGGGTGCGAAGAACGAACGTCAACGGCGTCGCAAAAGCGCAATCGCACAGACAGCGTTTCGGCCGCGGCCGCCGTAGCGGTTTCGCGCCGTCAGCTTCTTTCATCACCGCACCACTATGCGTCGGCGGGCAACCGACAAAACCACGTTGGCGTTGCTCGCCCTTGTAACGCCACACTTTGTCGTAACGTCAGTTGCTGCGGAGATTTCAGCAGCGCCGCACGTGCTGCCGCGATCATGTTTTCACCTCTTCGCGATGTTCACAACTGCGTTTTTATCTAGAGAGACTAATAACCAGTCCGCAATGGTTGTAATAATTGACACTATTTTTATTTTATTTTTGAACTAAGATTATTAATTATTTCGATAAGTCTTGAATTATATTGTTCACTAGTTTTTGGCTAAGAAATCGTCAACTTCTGAATTGAACAGTTCGGCATACCTTAGATGAATGTTATGTTTACCTTCCGGATAGATTTTAAGCCTGCAACAACGGAAACAATATTTGTTAGGTATATATCAGCGGTGGTCATAGTGGTCATAGGCGTGACTACGGGGGCAGCAGAGCAGCCGGCCGCTCTGTAATATCTAAAAAGGTCGATGATTTGCACTTAATTTAGAAATGAAAATATTATAATATTATTTCAATTGAGTATTTTATATTGTTTTCCCTTGCTAAAATGCAATATTTGTATATAACTATAACATATTAACATATTATTCTAATATAAAGAATCGTAAACTGTAATCAGTTCATATTATATTGTTAACCAATGACCCAGTGGGCCGGAGTGGACTGTTGCGCATTACTTCTTCCGAGGAATTCAGGTTTGAGCGTATAGATATAAAAATAAGACTAATCGTAATGTGTGTAAAAATAAAATTATTAGAATGCATTAATAGAGGTATATTGAAAATTCCTATGTATAATATTTTCGATAGAATTAACAAACACCACAGGACACAGATATAATATTTTATGTCCGCGACAAACACTGAAACACGCATCGCACACACGTATAATATTGTTTCATGCTCATACATAATAATATTATTTAGTATTTCTGTTATTTATTTCGCTGAGTAGTATTAATGTAATTTAAACTTTAAAGTTATAAATTTATTGTAATCATTATACTCGTATACTCGTATACTCGTATAGCCGTATCATGGATGTTTTTAAAAATAATAAAAAACAATTGGGAGGAGCTGCTAAAGATCAAAATAAAAAAAAAAAATTAAATTAATAGAGGCAGCTAAATTAGCTATTATAAAAAATAAATTAAGAAGCACTATGGGACAAGAGCGATTTAACGCATTGCTATTTTTATTCATTGAGCAAAAATTAGTATCTGACATAGATATAGATGACATTATTGATGAATTTAAAACTTTTTCACAAAAAAGAAGACTTGCTCTTTAATAATAATATATATGTTATATGTGTATATGCATATTGTATAAATATATTCCTTGTAAATTTTTAATGTCCTGCACTCCTGTGTTATATTAATAATATAATAAATGGCTTAGTTTTATAAATAGTTTTATAAAATAATTTTCTAATAATTATTATATTAATAACACTTATCCCAAATAATTTTATGATCAAGAGTCTAGACCATTTAATTATTTTGATTGTTAAGGAAAATTTGAATATAAAAAAAAAAATTTGGGCCGTTTAGTTAATATGCTGCCTCTGTAAATGAAGTCTAGTCACGCCTATGATAGTGGTACAAATATGAAGGGGGAAAGTCTAGGCACAAAATTATATAGATGTATAATACTGTTTTTACCTCAAAATATTAAAGGAATTAGATTGAGTACAATCAATTATTGTCTTTAGATATAGGTATCTAATTAAAACACTATTTTAGAAATCAACTTAGTACACATATGTAGGATGTTTAAATTCTTAAATGTTTTAGTTTTCTTTAGTTCAATTTTTAGTGTCACTGCTCTCCTTAGTTATTTCTTTAATATTATTATTATTTGTAATCATATAATCATATAAAAATTCAACAATAATTAATCAATTTATCATTTTATATTATGTTGTTAATTGTTGTAAATACTCTTTATTGAACTGAATAATATGATAATAATAAAATGCAAAAATTTTAAAATTATAATAATTATGAAGTCGTTTTCTAATAAAAGCTAATATTTTTTAAGTAATATTATAAACTTACGATCCAAATTTAATTTTTTTGTGTAAATAAACAGGATGTTCCATGGGCACTATAGGGTCTTGAGCCCCATGCAAAATGAGAGTAGGTGCACTGATCTTAGGTAATGCTTCTCGACAAATGTCCCCTCCATTTTCTTTAAGTATTATTTGAAAAGAATCCACCCAAGCATTCCAAGTATTAGAAAAATACTTTTCGCCATACAATTCAACAAATGGCTGTTTCATGCGAGGAGACCAATTTTGTATATCACGTATTTTCTCATACAATTCAATATCTTTTTCAGTAACATACGCATTGCTACCCCAAATTATAAGTTTTTCCACTCTATCCACAGCCTTGGATGCCATTATAAGTGCAGTGATGCCACCATCACTCCAACCCAATAGTGAATATTTATTGATTTGCAATGACTAAGAAGACCAACATCATTTAGATTAGAAAAATATTAAGAATGCAAATACAAAAATGTAAATACTTTCATAAGTGAAATGGCATAGTCAGCGTCATGATAAAAAAATCCTGGTGAATAGTTTCTGTCTGGTGGTCGACTAAAACCATAACCGGGTGGATCCCATGCAACTATTGTATATTTTTCACGATTAAGAGTTTCAATTTGTGGCTTAAAATCAGTAAATATTGAACCTAAATAACATAAAGTTTATTACTTATGCATGATGTATAATATTATTGTAGTTTTGAAAATTAACTGTATAATACTTAATATAACCTAGGTAAACTACCTAATGCTCCTGGCAATAATAACAAGGTCTGTGGACCATTTCCAACTTTTAAATAATTAATTTCAATATTATTAACTTTAATTTTGTTTTGCTTCTGTAAATAAAAATGTGAATTAAATTTAATACATATAAATAGTTCTTTTAAATAAACTATTAAATTGATTTGATAATTTATGTTACGATAAAAGTATAGTAAGTATATTATAATATCAATAAATAATCAATTAATTACAATTAAATAACATTTTAATTTTTAGGATTTACCTATTTATGAATTTTGTATAGCATAAAATTAACAATTTAACAATTTTATACAAGGTCAGTAAAGTTTATGGCTTACAAAATTTCAAAAAATGTGAAGGTTTTAAATTTTGGAATACCTACCTAATCATTGGGTAAGTCTAAAAATATTGATAAATGTAAATAAATTTCTCGCATATAATGATATAATAATATTGTAATTTGTAGGTACTACTGCCTACTAATAAGTTAGAAAAAACTAACAATACTGAACAAATGTTTCAAGTTTACCTAGCCAAGTAAAAAGAATCAATATTTTTAATTGTTTAGTATAATTGAGTAGTTGCAAAAATATTAATAAACCTTAATTTTAAAAAAATCAATTGGTTAATTGAAATAACATTATTATTATATCATACCTCTATTGAAGAATAACACACTTGGTTTTTTATGTACAACGAACTACGGTTTCCGAATAATTTGTTAATTAATTTTTTAGATATCATTATGAAATATAATTTTAATACTTCGTTCGGTTTTAACAGTTGATAATGATTCGATTTTTACGAACAGCACTCATTTAGATTAAATAAGTTATAAATAAAACAACACCATAATACCTTATTATTTGAGTGTTGAATATTATCGCGAAGTCGTAAAACGTAAATATTATGCAACGTATTAAAATTTATAAGCTATAACCCGGAAGGGCAGTAAGTTCTTTTAATTTAAAAATAATAAATATATGTTTTTTCGTATCATTTAAAATGATTTCAAATCCACGATAAGTGTTATCATGAACTAAAATCACCATTAAGGTGGATATTTTATATAATAAACTAGCACCGGTGAAACTCGCTGTATGTGAATACCCTTGGTAGCTGAAAATCGTTTGAAGTGAATTCAGAATTTCCTAGGTCGGACTCAGAACTTTAGAATTCCGCAGTTAGAAAAGACTAGTAGACGAAACCAGTGATAACGAAATTTGAGACGTTGGTTGGTACCTCTGATTTGGTGGTTCTACATTTTGGCGGTGTCGTTTTAATCGCGTAAATAATAATAAAAGTATATAACAGTCCAATTCGAGCGTCTAGTGGTCGATCATTTCATTAAATTCACAGGTGTAACACACCTTGTCTCGTAGCTTGCCCTGTGCTTTTGTGTATGGAAAATAAATAAATACATTCCTAAATGGTAATTAAATGTCTAGTTATCAGTCATCAAAAATTAAAATAATCTTTAGTAAAGACATAATTGCTCTGGATAATATTATTTTCAATCAAACATTTTGACTTATGTGTTAAGTTTAGCACAGCATATTTTTAAATATTAATATGAAAAATAATTGTAACTAAGATTGAATCATTCAAATTTAATTAAAACTTCATTTTTGTTTATTTTATCTATATACTATTCTAACCAGGTATAATACAATTAGAATTAATTATTTTAGCTCAAAAAATAACTACTAAATTTATGCAAAAATATTTTAATGTTAAATTAATCTAAAATACAGAAACTATTTTTGAATCTAATTGTATTTTAAACAATATGAATTCTTTCTACAGATACAGTCTTACGAAGTTATAAATTCTCAATTAATAGTTCAGTCTTGTTATTTAAGTCTTCATTGTTTCAACATAAATTATACATAAATATCTATTTTAAATTTGAACAAACAAGAACTTAATAAAAATATATTCTAAAAATAAGTAACAATGGTAAACATAATATATATATATATATATATTACTACCAATTAAAATACTATAATTTGAGTTATAACATTAATTTTTTTTTAAATATAACATTCAATTAAATAAATTATAGTTGTATACTTAAATTACTTTCACAGTTTGCTTTTTTTGGTCATATTATAAGATATATTTTTTTTTCATAAAACAAACACTTATAAATTACGATTAATAATTAAATTTAATATTAATTTATATTAAAATTTGTGTACTAAGTGAATGGTAAAAAGTTCACAAAAAGCGCAGTGCCAACTATAAAATATGTAAAAAAGTACAATGTCACCAATTTGGATTTAAAATTGTATATTATACGGTTATAAGTAATTTTATTGAAATTTAGTGGAAACTTGTAATAATTTGAACAAGCCCAATAAAAAACTGGACTTGAAGATGCCAACATTCTGGTAGTCACTTGAACGTGTATACAAAACAAACAAAAAATGGTTAAAAATGTTGAATGGACAACATATACAAAATCTGGTCTATCTCGTTTTCTAAGACCTAAATAAATTATATTATTATTATAAAAATATTCAAAACCATATTTTAACAGTAAAAAAATACAAGGTGAAGCCAACAAAAAATTTGGAATTTGTTTGAATTGGAAATAACTTAAGAAACCAATATTTTTCCAGTATTTTTCTTGAACATAAGAGTATGGTATACGTACTCCACACCACAATGGGACACTAATGTTGTTTGGCATTATTAGGTTATTTGTAATTGCATAATCAATAACATTGGGATCTAATGTGTGTTCTTGCAGAGTACAGAATTTATAGTACCCGTATACCTGAAACAAACCGAAACATGCAAAAACAAAACATACACCAATAAGACATTTGAATGATATTTTTCTTTTTATGACGGCTGATCGAATCATATAATATAATAAAAAGCCAACATTGAGAAGTCCGTTGGACCTGTTCAATACAGAGAAACCAAATAATAATGATGACTTCCAAATATTTTCACACGCTATATGATACATACCATAAAACACTGTAAACACAAACAGTGACTCTGAATAAGGAGCCGAGAAGAAAACACTAGCAGGGTTAAAACAAAATAGGACTGTTGAATTATATGCCATTTCTACGTTTTTATGTATGCGTAAAGTCAAATTGAATAACACCAATGCAGTGAAAACGAAAATTAAATTATTGAAGACAACTCCTGCAATGAGAAACATAGTGTTTGGATGACCAGAAAAAATTGCAGTTAACAGCCATAAGACATAAGGATATAGGGGAAAAAAAGCCAACGTATTTTCATAAGTATAACCATATCGATAGATGTGATGGAAATATTGAGCGTCCCAACGGAGGAATCCACCTAGGATATCAGTCACGGAATAGCCAACACTAGTATCGTCATTATTTAGAAGGCCTGGCGATATGAACACTTCCTGAGCTTGGTGGTCTGGAATCAGAGTATTGAAGACGTACTGCATAATCACAATAGAAATTCGACTGTAAACCGCAAGACGCCATACATTGGATCGATATAGCGTCGGATCGATTTGTAGACCCTACAATACATAGTTACAGGTAGAATACATTTTTTATGAGTATTATAGTTATTAACACGATGCTTACCTTAAGTTTTTTATCTTTCATTTCGAAATCAATGTATTTATATTATGTACACCTAGCACGAAATAAATACATTGAACCTGCGTAAAAACACACATAAAAAAAAAAAAAATGCCAATTATGTCATGCGATTCAAAATTTATGATATTAGGAATAAAAATAAAGTCATCTCGGTTTGTACTTTTTAACAGAAAACGACACTAGAACCTGAAACATCAAATCTCAACGTTGAAAGATATTAAATAGGCACCGACTACTGAGTAGTGAGTACCGGACACCGGTAAAACGATATTTCATGCATAACAAATACAGTATTACACAAATAGTTGATCGTTGATCGGGATTGCTGCTTCCTCACGTTCACAGATATTATATACAATAACTAGATAGCTAACTGATGATATCTGACGCACTATTATTAAGAAGCCAAAGCCATATACGTGGTCTTGGATAATATACACTGGATAGAGCTATATCGTATATCACTCGTAGTCCGTGTTTGAAGCCTACCAATTCGGCCCCGGCCCCCGATGTAGGTATTGCGCATGCTCCAGAAATGAAATAGAACGCGCGGGACGGGGTAAGAAAGTATGATTACTCAGATTACTGATTATTTCCATGTCCTTAGATAACCTTATCACAATTTACAAACAGTTTTGGCTGTATTGAGCATGCGCAGTTAGGACTTCGGGGCCCAGTAAAGTTGCTATACTTCAAGATTTTAAATCATAGCTCTATCCAGTGTATATTATCTAAGTGCGTGGTAGTCAATGTTTTTGTTTGTTATCATTTTATCAATTCAAATTTATTATCATATAGGTACTGTTTCCGTATAATAAATTATTATTATAATTATTAATAATATTAATAATTAATACTTAACAACTTAAAGATGCCGACTACTTGTTCAGCTCATCGCTGTACCAATCGAGCAAAATCGGGGTCAAATAAAAAAGTCATTTACGCTACCTATATTATTTTAATCCTATTGTTTTTAGATTTCCATTGAGTGATGCTGAAAAATTACAACTAGTTGAAAGCTATTGGTCGCAAAGGATTTGAGCCAAATTTTGGAAGTCGTTTGTGTAGTGATCATTTTAAGCAATTCGACTTTTACGAAAATCCCGGAGAAAGTTATAAATTAACTTTAAAAAATGATGCTATACCATCAATTTTTCAATTTTCAGTTCATTCTACATTGTTGCCTATTAAATGTTTTTCCAGCAAACTGCAAGAAAAAAAAAAGAAAATGTAATACTTACAATTTTTGACAAATTATTAAGTTGCCCAACAACTAATAGGTAAATTATTTGTTATTTCTATAGATACATCAAGTGAAGATTTACCAATAAATCTATCCCAGATGACGTTGAGATCTTAAATGATTCCTGTTTATCAACGCCAGTAAAATTACCACTAATTATAACACCATATAAACATAGTTTTAATCAGTTATCTTTACCATCTCCTCGAAGAACTCCAACCAGGTACAAAAGGAAAGATAAATTATTACAACAAAAAGTTCAAAGGCAAAATAAAACCATAAAAACATTAAAAGACTTTTTGAAAAATGTAAGAAATAAAGGTATTTTATCATCAGAATATGAAGATATTATGTTTGATAAATTTGATGGAATAACAGCTGAAATTTTTAAGCATGAATTAAAAAATATTGGACGCAAACCTAAAGGCCGCCGCTATAGCACAGACATTAAAGAGTTTGCACTTACTCTACATTATTATTCTCCTAAGGCTTATGCATTTTATCGGTTAGATTTTTGCTTGCTTATAGCATATTATAATGCTTTACAGAAATATAATTTATAATTGTAGTTGACTATATTTATATTGTGTTGATTTAGGTCAATCTTGAGTTTACCACATGTATCAGCCATTAGAAACTGGACATCTTCTATTAACGAAGAACCTGGATTTTTACAACAAGTGTTGACATTTCTCGAACAATTACTAAAAGACGATAAAGACTGTAATATAGTTTTAGATGGAATGGCTATAAAAAAAAACAAATAATTTGGGACAAAAAAGCTAATAAATTTGTCGGTTTTTTTGACTATAGTAACCAATTGGATTTAGAAGGTATTATAATATGCCAGCTACTGAAGTATTTGTGTTCATGTTGATAAATTTAAAAGGAAAATGGAAATGTCCCATTGAATATTTTTTTCAAAACAAAATTAATGCTATCACCCAAGCTGAATTGATAAAATCTGCTTTATTAATTATACATAACACTGGTTTGAGAGTTTGGGGCATAACCTTTGACGGTGCTTTCACAAATTTTTCTTCTATGAAAATATTAGGCTGTAAATTTCAAGATTCGTATACCGATTTAAAAAGTTGGATAAATCATCCTATTTCTAATGAGAAAGTATTTAATGTACCAGAGCCTTATCATATGTTAAAGTTAGCCCATAATACTTTAGGTAATGCTAAATTAATAATTACAAATAAAGGAGTTGTTAGGTGGGACTATATAGAAAATTTGTTTAAAGTTCAATCAGATTTATCGTTAAAGTTAGATAATAAATTGAGTCAAGCTCATGTTATGTGGCACCAAAATAAAATGAAGGTTAAATTAGCTGTTCAAACGTTGAGTTCATCGACAGCAGATGCTTTGTTATTCATGAAAAATATTCATATGGATGGATTTCACAATGTTGATGAAACTGTGACATTTTGCAAAAACATCGATCGGCTGTTTGATTTCTTAAATTCAAGAAATCCATTTGCTTAAGGTTTTAAATCTCCAATTTTTCGTTCCAACCTAGAATATTTAGAATCAGTAATTATTCCACTAGTAGATTATTTGTTCACATTGCAGGTGAAAAATAATAATACCATTAGTCATATTTACACAACTTCTAAAAAAACATTTGTAATTGGCTTTGCGTTAGCTGTTAAATCGATTATCTCTATAGCAAAATTATTATTTGAAGAAAATCAAAACTTTAAATATTTATTATCTTATTAGCTTTCTCAAGACCACATTGAAATTTTATTTTCTGGATTTAGACAACGATTTGGTGCAAACAATAATCCTAATGTTTTACAATTTCAGGTGGTTTTAAAATAAATTCTCATGAAAAATGCAATTAAGTGTAAATCAAATGGTAATTGTTATAATTTTGATAATGATGTATTTGGAGCGTTACTTGAATTTAAATGGAGTAAAAAAAAGATTTATGTAATATAGACAATGCTGATGAAATCGATGAAGAAGTTCTTAATAGGAGTACATTATTAAACTCTACTAACTTAATTGTCAATGATGCCAAATTTAATATACTCTATTATATAACAGGTTATGTAGTAAAAAAAGTGTCACTTCATATTGATTGCAACAGTTGTATTGAATCACTCATGACTCATGAGTCCAAATTCTAGAGAACACAATTATCATCAGCCACCAATTTATTCAAAATGTATGTTTATTAAAAACCAAGGGGGATTAATTTTTTCATCATATTGTTCATTCAAAATTATTCTTGCTACAGAACATTTCTTTTTGTTTCCAACTGATAACTTTAAAAATATAAATGTACCAAATTTAGAAAATAAAATAATTGCACATATCAATAATAATTTTGTTCTTGATCATAATATTTTTAAGACACGTTATTGTGAAAGTGTTTGTTTATCTGTTAGGCCCAATAAAATGTTGTTAATAACACTTTTAGTTAAGAAGTTTTTTAGTATAATATTGCATTTGTATGGAAAACTTTATTCAAGTGATATATTAAATCCTCTTAGTAAGAGGCAAAAACTAACCAAAACTATACTGTTTTATAACCAATTATCATTTTCGTGTGTAGGCAATAGTATTAATTTGTAAAAAAAGTTATTATTATTATATTCAGTTGTATAAAAGTTTCAATCATTTTTAAAAGAATGTATTTGTTTTTTTTTTTATAATATTTTATTAAATAGTATTATGTTGATCGAATACTTATTGTTTTTACCTAGTTATACGTGTTGTTCAATCTCTTTTCTATAGTTCACAAATTTATATGATATTTTAATATATTATTTATATTATAAGATATTATATTTTTTACATCTTACACGCCCAGATATATTCATATTATATACAAATACAATAATATTGTATATTATATCTGTGGTTACACCAATTAGACGTATCACGAAATACATAAAATTAAGTTATATTTAAGTATATTATATTAATTTAATTTGTGACACATACTTAACAAATTTATTTTATATTATATAGTGATAAGAAATGATAGCAATAATTAATGTAAACATTGACTACCACGCATATGGCGGTTGACTTCCAATTGTAATGCTAATTAGTTATCTAGCTATTGTATATATCTGTGCTCACGTTAGAATTTAACTAAAGCTATGTTTGGCCACAGATATATAAAAATACTAGATAGTAAATAGCCGACTTGGGTATTATTATTTTCGATAGTAAAATGGCCGCCATCCTTATCTAAGAGGTGAATGTTTATGTTTCTTAGCATTGATAAGAACGATGTTAATATTATTTATTACTAGCACCGGTGAAACTCGCTGTAAGTGAATACCCTAGGTAGCTGAAAATCGTTTGAAGTGAATTTCCTAGGTCGGAGACAGTACTTAAGAATACCGCAGTTAGAAAAGTCTAGTAGGCAAAACCAGTGATAACGACGTTTGAGATGTTGGTACCTCTGATTTGGTGGTTCTACACTTTGGCGGTGTCGTTTTAAACGCGTAAATAATAAAAGTCTAATTCGAGCGTCTAGTGGTCGGTCATTTCATTAAATTCACAGGTGTAATACACCTTGTCCCGTAGCTTGCCCTGTGCTTTTGTGCATGGAAAATAAATAAATACGTTCCGAAATGGTAATTAAATGTCTAGCTATTAGTCATTACCCGGTGCTTGTCGTTACTCGACTGGGCAATCCGCGTAGCTTGCCCTGTGCTTTTGTGCATGGAAAATAAATAAATACATTCCGAAAAAGTAATTAAGTGTCTAGTTATCAGTCCAGTGAATATCGATTCCTGACAGGGCAATCCGCCTGCGGCGGATTGTCATACCTCCTGACGTCGAAGGCGTTGTGCTGTTTAGTACGCAAAAAAGTTTAAGTCGAATCGAGCGTTCGATTTCTCAAGCGATCACCATTGAAAATCCAGTTAAACGCGTTTAAACCTCACAGGTAGGCAATCCGACTGCGTCGGATCGCGGACGATGTGAGCACAAAGTGGCGATTTTAAACGTATTAATGAAAATACATGTCAAACGTTAGCGAGTTGAAGATCAAAAAAACTATACATAATT